TTCATTTTTGCATCTTGAGCTGGCTTTGCTGCCTGTTTCTGAGCTAGTGATCTTAATTCGCTTCACTTTTCTTGCTGCTTTGTTTCATTTTTACATCTTGAGCTGGCTTTGCCGCCTGTTTCTGAGCTTGTTCTGAGCTAGTGATCTTAATTCCCTTCACTTTTCTTGTTGCTTTATCTCATTATTGCATTTTGAGCTGCCTTTGCTGCCTGTTTCTGAGCTTGTTTCTGAACCAGTGATCTTAATTCCCTTCACTTTTCTTGCTGCTTTGTTTCATTTTTGCATCTCGAGATGGCTTTGATGCCCGTTTCTGAGCTACTAATCTTAATTCCCTTCACTTTTCTTGCTGCTTTGTTTCATTTTTTGCATCTTGAGCTGGCTTTGCTGCCTGTTTCTGAGCTAGTGATCTTAATTCCCTTCACTTTCTTGCTGTTTGGTTTCATTTTTGCATCTTGAGCTGGCTTTCCTGCCTGTTTCTGAGCTTGTCTCTGAGCTACTTATCTTAATTCTCTTCACTTTTCTTGCTGTTTTGTTTCATTTTTGCATCTTGAGCTAGCTTTGCTGCCAGTTTCTGAGCTACTAATCTTAATTCCCTTCACTGTTCTTGCTGCTTTGTTTCATTTTTGCATCTTGAGCTGGCTTTGCAGCCTGTTTTTTGAGCTTTCTCTTGTTCTTTCCCTGTCTATTTCCGAGCTTGTTTGATAAAATGAGAAGCAAATTTCTAATTCATTTGGTATTTTCTCATGAAGATGCAACCAACAATTGGAGCCAAGAAAACTATTGAATCATCCCCTTGCTGCTCATTCATTCTTGCTTGAAAAGCCTCAACTCCCGGTGGAAATGAGCTTCAAAAGGGACCTTGAGCTTGTCGTCTTTGTTTTCTCTGCAGTCTTCTGGTTTGCAGCGAACGTTTATCCGGTGATGTCGGAGCCCATCAAAGACAAGGAAGCTTTGCTTAATTTTCTCAACAAGATGGATCACTCACACTCGCTCAATTGGAAGAAGAGCACTTCTTTGTGCAAAGAATGGATGGGAGTTCAATGCAAAAATGATGAATCCCAAGTTGTAGTTCTTAGATTGGCTGAAGTTGGCTTACACGGTTCGATCCCGATCAACACTCTCGGTCGGCTATTGGGACTTGAAACTCTAAGCCTTGGATCAAATTACATATCAGGGCCTTTCCCTTCTGACTTCCTAAAGCTGAGAAATCTCAGTTCACTCTACTTGCAAAACAACAAGTTCTCCGGTCCATTGCCATTGGATTTCTCTGTATGGAAGAATCTCAACATCATCGATCTGTCAAACAATGCCTTCAATGGGAGCATCCCTCGCTCAATTTCGAACACGACACATCTAACGACATTAAACCTTGCCAATAACTCACTCTCTGGTGAGATTCCAGACAACCTTCCTAGTTTGCAAGAGTTGGATCTTTCAAACAACAATCTCACAGGGTATGTCCCTCAGTCCCTTAAAAAATTTCCAAGTTGGGCATTCTATGGTAACAACCTCATGCTAAAAAATGCCGTTTCTCCGGCTCACGAACCGGTGCCGAGTACTCGACCATTGAAGAAAGGCACAACATCACTTGGTGAAGCAGCAATTTTAGGCATTATAATTGGAGGTTCTGCAACGGGGTTAGTCATAGCAGTCATTTTGATGGTTATATGTTGCTCAAACAGAGGAAGACTAAAAAACAAAGCCTCATCAAAGCTGGACAAGCAAGAACAGTTTGTGAACAAAAGGGTGTCTGAGACACAAAACAACAACCTCAAGTTTTTTCGGAGTCACGGCCTCGAGTTCGACTTGGAGGACTTGTTGAGGGCGTCTTCCGAGGTGCTCGGGAAGGGGATGTCGGGGACGACGTATAAGGCGACGCTAGAAGACGGCAATGCCGTGGCAGTGAAGAGGTTGAAGGAAGTGTGTGTTTCAAAGAAGGAATTTGAGCAACAGATGGAGGTGCTTGGGAGCATTGATCATGAAAATGTGTGTGGTCTAAGGGCATATTATTATTCAAAGGATGAGAAACTCATGGTGTTTGAGTTCTATCAACATGGAAGTGTCTCTGCAATATTGCATGGTATGTTCTTACTTCTTAATCTCTCCCATGAAAATGTGTGTGATTTGTGCATTGAATTTTGCAGTTGCGAGAGAGAAAGGACAGTCACCTCTAGATTGGGAAACTCGACTCCGAATCGCCATTGGCGCAGCCAAAGGAATCGCTCACATCCACTCTGAAGCCTGCGGCAAGCTCGTCCATGGAAACATCAAGGCCTCAAACGTTTTTCTCAACTCCGCCGGTTACGGATGCATTGCCGACGTCGGCGTTGCCGCTCTGATGAACCTCATGGCCCCGGCGGCAACCAGAGCCGCCGGATACCGCGCTCCCGAACTCAAAGATTCACGCAAAGCGTCTCAAGCCTCCGATACCTACAGCTTCGGCGTCGTGCTTCTGGAACTCCTCACTGGAAAATTTCCACTGCATACGAAGTGTGGCGGCGGCGGCGGCGGGGATCAGATCATCCACCTTGTGCGGTGGGTGAACGCGGTGGTTCGAGAGGAGTGGACGGCGGAGGTGTTTGATGTGGAGCTTTTGAGATATCCGAACATAGAGGAGGAGATGTTAGAGACGCTGCAAATAGCGCTATCTTGTGTAGGAAGAGTTCCGGATGATCGACCGTCAATGGCGGATGTGGCAGCTCGGTTAGAGGGAGTTCGCCAGGTGAGCGGCGGAGGAAACCAACCGGCGCCGCCGCCAGCATTGCCACGTGGAGCGGAGGAGGTGATCCAGATTCAGGTGAATGTGGATGAGGGTGAAGAGGGAGCTCCGTCGAAATCGAATTGAGGATTTCTGGTTTTGGTTGAAGGATCATTGGGCTTCCGATTGAGTTCGATGAAACTGGATGATCAAATTCAGCCGGTAGATTGGGTTAGCAACTTAGTTTTAGTGTTCAAAAATTGGCTTATTTGATCAGTCTGGTTTTTTGGTTTTGTTACTTTCGCCTTTTTTTTTTTTTTTTTTTTTT